TGGAGAAGGAAACTAAATCAAGTGGAATTCGGTCACCAAAAAATCCAATGTTTGACTGTTCTCTTCACTTTTCTTTTGGCCGACTCCAGCACATATTTGGAAAGTAAATTTCCAATATTTCCTTTTTGCTCAATTTCGGACGTCCGCAAAATATCAATTCAAAATATTCAGATTTTTGCTTCAGGCTCAAACTCGAGACATATTTTCAACATGATCAATGATTTATTTACAATGTAAATCGAACTCATGACCTCGTGAAGGACAAGTGACCATTTGATCACCACGCCAAATTCCATGTGGATGGTTTCTAGTATTAGTGTTTGGTTACTCTTGTGTGATATACTTGGTTTTTCAGGGTTTGCTTACTTTTCAACTTTTAGTTGGTTTTTAATGATCAAATCTTATGATAGGCCAACTAGCCAAACCATGGAGTTGTTTTCATTTCCGTGTGATGGATTCGTTTCGGCCATTCGGGCCTTTCTTCTGTCACTCAGTCACTCCTCGTTTCCAAGCCAATCCCCACTGAAAAAACCAAACATATAAGCCCATATTTTTTTGTGTTTTTCGGGATATATGCATTATTTGAGCATAATAGCAACCTATATTCACTTAAGAAAAGTCTGTTCGGGATCCAGTACAGTACTACTAACTGCATTTACTAAGGTTCCGTTCGTTTCAAGGAAAACAACTTCCAGAAAAATGTTTTCCCTATTTTCTGGCGTTCGTTTCGCAGAAAATAAACTAGTCATGGAAAACATTTTTCATAAGTGAAAAAAACACATTCAAAAGTGAGGAAAATATTTTTTGCTTTTTAGAAAGCAGAAAACATTTTCCATTTCTTCTTTCATTGCATTTTCTTTCAAATAATACAATGTTCTTTTATTTTTTTAAAATCGATTTTTAAATTTTTTTCTTTTTTCTTTTTTTTCTCTTTTTTTTCCTTCTTCCTCGACCGGCAACCGGCCACAGGCGAGCTCGAGCCTCGCTCGAGGTCGCCGGAGCCTCATCGATGTCTGGCAACCTCAGGTAAGGCTTGAGCCTCGCCCAGCTCAACGGATCTAGCAAGGCCCAAGATCACCCGATTAGCCTTGGGCGAGCTCAAGCCTCGCCAAATCCGGCTAGCTGGGCGAGGCTGAGGTCACCAGGGCCTTGCCAACCTATGGCAACCTCTGGCGACCTCGGGCAAGGCAGCCTCGCCTAGCTTTCCAACCTTGAGCAAGCTCGACCTCACCACAAGCTAACAAGGCTCGACCTCGCCGACCTGTGATGAGGCTCGACCTCGCCAATGGCTGGCGGCCAGCCATTGCCGTGGCCGGCCAAGGAAGAAGGAAAAAAAAAAGAAAGAAAAGTAATTTAATTATTAAAATAATTAAAAAAAATCGAATTTTTTGGTAATATTCCCTAGAAAATCAAATCGGATACCAAACAACGGAAAATATTTTCCATTTTATTTTTAGGTTTCAGCCAAATACCGGAAAATATTGTCATTTTCATGAAAAATGGCTTCATAAAAAACATTTTCTGGAAACCTCACATTTCCCACGAAACGAACGGAGGCTAAATTTTCTAATTTATTTCCAGCATTAGGACGATATTAAGGAAGATTAATAACTTGAAGATGGAGAGAAATCAGAAATGAGCAAATGAGGAATGAACTTACCTTGAATTTGAAATGATTTCCGCACCCCTAATTATCGTGCTTTTAAAGCATAAGGGAAATACTGCACAAGCCCACAAGAGCCTCAAAATAGGCTTTGCAGGCCTCGCCGAAAGGCCAAATGGGCCTAACACAGTGTAACAGGCCCACTGAACGACATCAGTCGAACAATGGGCCACAATATTGGGCCCATGCATAAACAAAAACGGTCCGCTAGGGCGTCGTTCCATCGCTTTTTTTTTGGTCAAAACGTTCCATCGCTATTGTGCAGTGTCGAAAGAGGCCATGCTGCTTAGCGGCTGGCTCGCCGACCCAGCACTGGCAAATGCAACTCGATGCCCAGTGCAACACAAGGTGCCTGCCCATTGGACATGCCGCCACCTATCACCAGCATCGATTTCTCTTCTTCTTTTTATGTGGAATCATACATGTATTTTTAAAAATAGGATAAGTACACTGGAAGCCCTAAATCTTATCACAAAAGTACAATTGAGCCCTACAATTTCAAAAAGTGCAATCAAGTCTCAAAACTTATCACAAAAGTGCAATTGAGTCATAAAACTTTCAAAAAGTGCAATCAAATCCTAAAACTTATCAAGTTAGTGCAATCAAATCGTAAAATTTATTAGTATTTTCTGTTTGTCAAGTTGAACGTCGTTAATAGAAGGACTTGATTGAACAAACTTAACAAGTATTATGACTTGATTGCACTATTTGAAAGTTTTAGGACTCAATTGCATTTTCGTAACAAGTTTTAAGACTTGATTACACATTTTGAAAGTTTTAGAACTCAATTGCACTTTCATAACAAATTTTAGGACTTGATTACACTTTTTGAAAAATTTAGGATTTAATTGCACTTTTATGACAAATTTTGGGATTTCTACTACACTTATCCCTTTCAAAATTGACCAAAATTTTGACTAAGCATGTCTTTTTCCATTCAACATTGTCAAATCTTTTTCCGTTTCTAAACTTTTCAAAAATGCAGTCTAGTTTTCGAAACGTGACAAGTAGCGGATTTTCAGTGATTGGGTCGAATGGACAATTGTACTAAAAGTTTATGACATTTTCTTCGTTAAATATTTTATCGACATGACTCTTGCAGCATCATAAATCTCGTGTGTTGGATAGAATTTAGTTGATCGGGTTAAATCACAAAATTCCCAACTCCTCAAGAACGAATAATCGTGGTTAAAAGTTTCGATATCTTGAGAATTGGCCGTTTGATTTGGGCAAATCTATTTTGTTGGTAATCTCTTGATGAGTACAGCACACTTATACCCTTACATTGAATTGCTAATGGAGTTCTATTTCCGTTAAAAGCGGGTCAAATCTTTATAAAATGTTCGATGAAAAATTATGTGTCCACGATATTTATAAAGACGATGATTGCATCAAATAGTTGAATTTTGCTCATAAGATATCCTTATGAAATCATGGACTTATACGTGGGAGCCAAACTCCATACTCCAATTCATATGTAAATTCCCAACCTCTAATATTACATTTGGTTGCAGTAATCACTATTACATTTCAGGTCCGGTTGATTGTTTTCTCGTAGTGGCAGCTATTAGAGAAGCTGTAATAGCTATTACATGGAACCCCGTGTGATAGTTATATTGTACCTGCTCGTCCCTAAACTTCTAACAAGAACATATTGCCCCATGTTTTGATTTGGTTATAGCCATTGATCTTCTATGATATTTTTTGCTAGCATACGCAATGCATATGACTTTTAAAGTGTAAATGTGTTATTTAATCTCATTTTTTTTTATAGAAATCTCTTTTTTATCCTTGATTTCTGTAAACATAAAAAAAATAAAGAAAATCGAGAAAAATAATATAATTAAATTATTAATAACAAAAAAATAGATATCAATAGTAATTTAATATGAATGTTATAAAGGGATGAAAATATTAATAGAACTCAAATATTTCAAGAAAAAGAAACTCAATTAATTGAAAGGAAAATAACCGTCAATAACAAAAAGGTCAAGTAACAAAAATTGGACTATGAATGATTATGTAAATGGTTTATCACTGCAAAAAAAAAAATGGTTGATCAATAGAAAAAATTTAAAAATAAGCTTAGTTTTCGATTAATTTTTTTTATGAGTTGAGGAGATCATTTCCTTTTATAATTTTTTTAAAATATTGTTATTAATCAATCACTTTTTACATTAATTAACTATTTAAATATACATAATGACTAAACAAATTTTGTCATTGACCTTCATGTTTTTTAGGCCTTTTTCCTTTTCATTTGATTTGTGTTTATACGTTTTCTTGGAAGATCGTATTTAGTTCTATTCAAGTGACTATATTTATCAAATTTCGTTTAATACAACTATAGAATTTTACTTTATCTATTGTTAGTATCTAGTTAATTTAGTATGCTCCCATCTTCTATATTTTAATCATTTCTTACATCAATGATGTTAAAAAGAGAGATTTCTTTTAAATATGAGATGAAAATATACTTTAAGCCCATAAAAGTCACGTGCATTCCACATGCTAACGGAAAAATAACGAAGGGTTAAACACAGTAGTAAAATGAAAGTTCAAGGGGGCATTGTGTAGCAGTTGAAAGTTCGAGAGCGGAGGTGTACTGCCCCAAAAAGTTTAGGTATTTTGTGTAATTTCCTCTAATTTTAATTAAAATTTCTATTAATTACTAGCATGATACCGTTTTTTTATATAAAGCTACCCAGATTTTGATTATTTTGACTTAATCACCTATTATATGATTAAATAAATAAAATACTAATGACTAAGTAAATAATTGATATCATGATAATTATGTTATCATGACAATACATAAGTACTTATTTTATTGAAAATTATTCATGATGTTATAATTAGCATAACACTTAGTTGCTTTCTATTAGGTACGATTATGTAAATTCCCATAGCTTAGTATAATATTATTTACAATAAGATGATTACCTCAATATTAAATTATATCAATAAGTACCCGTTCAACAATTATAATTTCAATCATACAATTAATTACATAACTAATAATATTCATCCAACATGATCAAATTTTATGTTTAAATCATAATAACACGTTAATTTTTACGTAATTGATACAAATCTATGCGTTAAATTGCAATATTTCGATAATATATATAGGACACTACTACACTCATGATTGGCTATTAAAGTAGTAGTTATTGTTATATATTATCTATCTTAGCATAATCACATATTACGTGGTTCATTTTTTTTATTACAATCGTAAATAAATTATCAAAATAGAAAATAAATATGACGTAATTGTGTTGTATATCTGCTATTATTTTAGGGGTATTTAGGTCATTCCGATGTTATTTCTGGCCTTTCTTCTCTGTTCCTGCCTCCACTCCTCTGGAAACTCCAAAACCCAAAACCGCTCGAGCTCGCCGGAGAAGAAAGCGAGATCGCTCGGCGGTCGCCGGCCGGCCGCGAGTCTCGCCGTCGGGGGTTCAGCTGATCGTCTCCGGCTCCGAATTGCAGTCGCTCGCCGCTCGTTGTGACCCGAATCTCGCTTCTGAGGGGTCGCGTCGATCCGTTCCCCCCCTTCCAGGAGCCATGACGGAGACCGAATCCAGGAAGCTTCTGATCCTGTACGCGACTCAGACCGGAAACGCCGTGGACGCGGCGGAGCGCATCGGCCGCGAGGCCGAGCGCAGAGGCTGCCCCGCTTCGCTCCTTTCCATGGACGAATATGACGCCGTGAGTCTTGAATCGGTCTCTCGCACTTGCATTGGGTGTTTGATATTCGTTCGGGAACTAGTGATGCCTTTATTATTTTGCAATAGTCATGTTATTCGGGGGCGATGCGTTAGCTCATGCGAGTTTGTGTTTGCTTTTATGCGTGGCAGAGTTTGTTGCCTCTCGAGGACACTGTCGTGTTCGTGGTTTCTACGACGGGCCAGGGGGATCCGCCAGATTTCATGAAGGTTGGTTTAGGGTTTTGTGTTGAAATTTGGAGGCTGTTTGGATTTCAAGATGCTGTGGTGATTGGATTGGTTAGCGTTTGTAGCTCCTGATATGCCCTTGTTTTGTAAAAAAACAGGTATTTTGGAGGTTTCTGCTGCAGAGAAACCTGAACCGGCATTGGTTAGAGGGACTGCGTTATGCCGTGTTTGGGTTAGGTGATTCTGGTTACCAGAAATACAATGTAATCATGTTTTCGCTGCTTTCTCATGAGATTGGCATATGTTTAGTGATGGCATCGAACATTCTAGAACTGACTTCCACTGTCATGCAACTGCTGCTTCTGTGCTTATTCTACGGAGAATAGAAGTGATTGAATTTCGTGTAATAGGATCATGATCTGTTTGAAGTCCTGGGATGCATTTATGCCCAGCAAAGCAAACTTGCTTGTAATTGAAGTTGATCTTCAAAGCATTTAGGGTCTGTTGCTACTTCTGCTTTCGAGGCCCAGCACCATCTTTCTAAAAATCATAGTTGCATAACAGCAATTTGATGCCTTAGATGTACGTGCCAACATTTTTTGTGGGGATTATTTGGCGTCTATAAATTTTACCGTTAGGTATTCTGAGTGTGTTAAAATCCATATTTTTATATGTTCCTTGAGTTTTGTAGAACTGTAGTTCAAAGGAAGTGCTTAGAGTAGATTTCTTTTGACTTTTTATGGTGCCATTTGCTGGTATTTTTCTTTCCACAGGAATTGTAAGCGACTGTTTTAGCAATTTCCTTTTTCGTGGAATCAAGTAATGTTGCATATACTTTAAGCATAATAGGTAATGTGCCAAGTTCAATATTTTCATTGTAATTTAGCTTAAATTCTTCCCAGACTTCATCTTTTTTATTACTCTTTAGTTGAAACGTGTCTTGCTAACCACTTCTCTCAGCCCATTTATCTCCTCTCCTTGAATAATTCGGCTTCCTTCAAGTTTAAGTGCCTGGGTGTCTCCTGGATATTCATCCATGCTTTCAGTGCTACTTTGTTAAATCATACCATTTGTTGCAATATTTTTTTCTCCCTCACAGTTACTTCAGCCAGAGGAACTTATCTTCATCTTCATGACTGATGACTGCAGTTTGTTGCCAAAAAACTTGATAAGAGACTTTCGGATCTTGGAGCGCAGGCCATTGTTGAAAGAGGTTTAGGGGATGACCAGCATCCTTCAGGGTATGTCATGGTACTATAAACTAAATCCTTAGTTAAAAATTGTTATGTCTAGTTCTCACACAATAAAATGGAGAAACCTTGCTTTGCAAACTATGGTCTTGGTAATCTATCAAATGACATTTTTTCCCTCCGAATGCAGCTTCGAAGTTCTGGCTAGTATTATGAAATGTGACCAAGTGACTATGTGAAATCATTGGTGTTTCTGGCTCGTGCTTGTGGAGCTGATCTTACCGTTTATGAGGATGGTTAAGTTTGGTGGCATGTATTTCTTTGTCGTGTCTGGTCGTATTATATGCTCTCTCATTTCTATGAAAACTCGTCTATATGTTACTTGTGTAGTTACCGTTTCATTTCCAATCATAAAACTTTAGATACACCATCAAAGGAAAGTAAGTATATCTTCATAGTTTTTCATTTAGTTTTGAACTAACTTGGTTGATTAGTTCTGGAAATTTAGCATCCAGTTTTATGCGTAGCTTATGCCTCCATGAAACAGGACCCTTTGTCAACTGATTTTAATAGTTTTATTTGGTTTTGTTTTATAACCGATATTTTGTCATGTTTAAGGAATGCTTTTATTCCTGGGCGTAACTTAAAATCCCTCTTTTTTGCGCTATACTTTTATTCACAATTGTTGCTTTCGCGCTTCATTGGAGTTTCATGGTAGTTAATTCTTCATGCTGGAGTCTTTTACCTTAAGATAAGGTCAAAATCCAAAGAAGCCAAGTAACCAACATAGTGATTTGTAATTCAAGGTATGAAGGTGCTCTGGACCCTTGGTTGTCATCCTTGTGGAGAATGTTAAATCAGAAGAATCCAAAGTTATTTCCTGATGGTCCAGATTATGTGATATCAGATGAGAAATTTCTGGATCTACCAAAGGTTCAAATCAGATACCATGCTGCTGATGAAGTGAATCCGCAATATTTATTTGGTTCAGGTAATTTGATCTGTCTAGCAGTAGCATGTATTGATATAGGGTATACACATGGTGTGAATCTAGGGTAAAAAAATTCAAGCTTAGCCAAAAAACGTACTGGTGTCAGTGGATCAATCTATTGTGAGAACTTGAAGTGGTTTTCTTGCTAAGTTGGGGTATTGAGAGTGTTAGTATGCATGCTTCTCCATTGTCCTTACTAAATGGAGATCGTATGGTGCAAAAGACAAGGTCGCTGAGTAGTTTATCCAATAAGTTTATCCAATTTATCTGTATGAATATGTTCAGGCTGCATTGTCATTTTGACTATTTTTCTTTTTCAATTTTTCTGGCTTGTCATGCACAGAGATTGAAATCGAGAAGGCTCGCTCTATGTCTCCTGGAAGATTCTCTGGTCGCCAAACAAGACCGGATTGCTTTCTTAAATTGGTAATCTACGACTTATATGACATAGCCAGTGGACAATATGCAATTTCAGCCCTTTGCTTTCAAAATATGGTTGATTTTGTCATTAAACATACGCTATAACTTTGTCTTAATTCCATTGAGTGTGAGTTCAGTACTTTTAGAAGTGGGGAGGATGGGTAATCAAAAGCAAATAATCTAATATACTGAGAAGCCAAAGTTTCCCTACCAATCATATTCATTTAGCAAATCTGCTGAATCTAATTTTATATTTATTTTCAAGTGAAATGCATTAGGGATGCGCTTAATGAGTGAGAAGGAATTTAAAACACTTGAATGCTGTATGCTGTGGAGCTGAATTTGGATTAGAAAAGTAAAAAATCTTGATTGGTTCTTTTTTCTTCTTTTCCTGAGTAGGTAAAAAATCATTGCTTGACTAAGGCAGGCTGTGGAAAGGATGTGCGTCACCTCGAATTTAACTTTGAGTCATCTGTAAGATGTTTAAATATACTGTTCAAAGAGTTTTGGAGATTGGTTTTCCCTTTTTTGTATAATGTGTAATAATGAATTTTCAGGCTATTGAATATGATGTAGGTGATGTTTTAGAAATTCTTCCTGGTCAAGATCCTGAGGCGGTAGATGCTTTCTTGGAGCATTGTCATTTGGACCCTGAATCATTCATTACGGTAGGAACTATTGCAGTCAGACTGATTATTTTTCATTACTTCAAAATGGACATATTCTTTGCTGCTCTTGCTCGGATGTTCACCTCCTTTATGATTTTACAACGCATTTATTTCCAGCAGATTTTAGCTGTCCTCTGATCACATGCTTTTTTCTGTGCATATGCAGCCGCATATACACAGCTAATGAAGGACCAAGATAAAGTTTGTCCATTTGGACTAATATTTTGGAAGCTAGAGTAGATGCTTTATGGCTATTTTCGCTATAGAAGCTAAATAAGTATATTTGGTGTTCAGATAATTTAATTGCTTTTCATATTTTGCTTCAACTGAAGAGCAGTGGTATATGCTACTTTTCTTTTTTTTAATCTTTTTATATCTAAAATAATTGCAGGTAGTTGTTGTTCCTCATAGTTGATTATATAATCCTATCATCTATTCTCATTCATAAAGCTAGTTAAGCTCATTTCTATATTTACCCTCAAATCCATCGTCTCTCTCTCTCTCTGGTTGTTAAAATCACATTATTAAGTAAGATTTTACAGAAATATGTTATAAACAAAGACCAGAGTACTTTATAATTCTATAGTTCATACTTTCCAATAAAAAATTAGCATAATTCAAAGATAAACCATTTAGACTTGGGGTGTGTCTGGATTGACTTTTACTTTACACTTTTTACTTGATCTAAATTTTGCGGTGTATGCATTTGGACTTTTGTTTTAACCCGGAACACCTGAAACTATCATATTGTATAATTATCGACATGTAAATTAGCATTTTTTTAACTCGTAATTTTTCCGAGTTTAGATAGAATTAATTTTTGGTGGTAAAATAATTTTTGCTTGTACTTAAAACTCATAAAAAAGCCCTTATAATCTAGAGAACACCAAAGCCCATAATAACTAAATCTTGAATGAATTCTAACCAAAGTTTCTTTAAACGTCTATATTATGGCTGCAAGAATGAAAATTACAGAAATCAAGGCAGAAAAGTCCCATTCTCTTGCAAAACTGTTATCATAGTTTCTCATACACCTTATGTGTGCATCATTACTAATTGCTACTTGAAACCTTTTTTCTATGCTTCAGGTTCATCCAAGAAAAGAGGATAATCGAGTTCTAGCCAATGGAAGAAGTGCCTCAATAGTCCCCATCAAATTAAGGACTTTCGTTGAGTTGGCAATGGATATTTCATCAGCATCACCGCGACGTTACTTCTTCGAGGCAAGAGTCTTGTATTACTAATATTATGATGTAAACACCCATCAAATTATGATCGACTACTTTCTGTGCCTGTTTGTGCTTGTGAATTGGCCATACTTATTGTTTATATATGCATGCTTTCTAGAAACCTAGAATGTTTTATGAAGTAAAAATGGAAGCAAAGTAGTTCGTCTGCGAGATATTGATTCCTGAATTCAGTATAATTTTGGTGTGCATATTGTCTTCCATGTTTCTCCATCCAATGGTTGTTTTATCCAAAATTTCTTTATCCGAACTTGGTGGATGTCTGCTGCTGCACCAAAGAAAAGCCGTAGCATTGGGGAATTGATTGGCATATAAGTCACAGATGAGCTTGATTTAGTGATTATATGAATTGAGTCTGGAAATTAAGTAGTCGAGAGAAATTATACTCATTGCCGTGTCGCATGATTAGTGTTGTGCCCTTTTGGGGGTTTAACAAGCTTCCCTGCTATGTTTTGTCACATGCGGCTTCCTATGGTGAATACATTGTTGCCTTGCATAGATTTGGAACTACTGTCTCAGGACCTACAGATCTCCAGGATTATCTAGTAATGATGCATATTACATGGGAAATGCTGAAATAGATAGTTTATATGAACAAATATAGAGTTGCATGGCTTTGGTCTGGTGATTTTTTACTCAGCATGCCTAACAATTTTTTGCTTTCCTCATACTAATAGCACCGCCTATCAGGTAATGAGTTATTTTGCTGCAGCCCAACATGAAAAGGAAAGGCTTCAATATTTTGCATCAGCTGAAGGAAGAGATGATCTATACCAATACAACCAAAAAGAACGAAGAACTGTTTTGGAGGTGACGAAACTAAACTAATTTTTTGAGACTGTATTTGTTGTGAATTATTTGGAAAGAAATCCTACCTTTCAAAAATGTATTTGTCCTCTAGATGCTTCATTAAAGAAAAGGAGAGTTTTTAGCTTTGTCAAAATGGTATCAAATCATTCTGTAAGAACATGATATTCCTTTTCTGTTTAATTACTCCACCGACATCATCCTTCGTATGTACAAGTGAGTTGCGCCACATTGAGGTATATATGCTGCGAGAAGCTATATATTAATCTTTTCCATGCATCAGGTCATTAGTGATCCTTTCATTTTTAAATAGGTATTACAAGATTTTCCTTCCGTACAACTGCCGCTCGAGTGGTTGGTCCAGTTGATCCCTCCATTAAAAACAAGGGCTTTCTCCATTTCATCTTCTCCTTCAGCCCATCCTAATCAAGTCCACTTAACTGTGAATGTTGTGTCATGGATGACACCTTTTAAGAGGAATCGAGTTGGGCTCTGCTCAATGTGGCTGGCCAATCTTGATCCTAATCAGGGTGAGTAACTATTTACACGGACACTCTACAGGAATACATTGATGGAGGTATCAAATGTACATATTGCAATGCTAATTGCTGAATTTGACATAGTAGGTGCTTGTATTCCGGCATGGTTTCAGAAAGGTTCACTTCCTCCCCCACCACCATCGCTACCTCTCATCCTCATTGGACCTGGAACTGGATGTGCACCATTTCGTGGTTTTGTCGAGGAAAGAACCATTCAAAGTCGGTCTATGTGGACTGCGCCCATCATTTTCTTCTTTGGTTGCCGAAATGAAGAAAATGATTTTCTATACAGAGATTTCTGGTTAGATCATTCACGAAATGACAGGGTTCTCTCTGATGCCAAGGGCGGGGGCCTTTTTGTTGCTTTTTCGAGAGACCAACCTCAGAAGATATACGTGCAAGATAAGATACGGGAACACAGCCAAACGGTCTGGAATTTGTTGAACTCGGGAGCTGCCGTCTACGTCGCAGGTTCTTCAACCAAAATGCCCTCTGATGTTTGGTCAGCCTTCGAAGACATCGTATCTAAAGAAGGTGCGGTTCCGAGGGAATCTGCTGTTAGGTGGCTTAGGGCACTGGAAAAGGCCGGTAAGTATCATGTTGAAGCTTGGTCTTGAATTTGCGCCTACTCTTCCTCAGACCAACGTTGGTGGAGGAAACGAGGATGACCCTACCTTGTGCGGAAGAGCTACTTTTCGGGAACTTACTGTTTTTCGACCTCCATGAAATAATACACATTCAATTGATTAGGAAGTCCATCTTTTCCTGGCTGTCTTGTAATTTGTTGCTCGATCCTTCTTACCCATTACGAAGGGCTTATGGATGTTGGAATCATTGTCGTGAAAAGAAAGAGTGGACTCGCGTCGAAATATTGTTGATTTCTGATTTAAGATGTCCCATGAGACTTTGAATTGCTCTCTGCCTTACGCTGACTTCAGGAATGTGAATCTCTTGCTTTTTATCAGCTCATCTGGGGTTGTGAGTTGGTACTCGGGATGAGTCAAGACGACGTAGTTTACTGCTTCGACTATTCTTTGAAGCGGAAATATACTTATAATGTAGGTCTGTAATGGGAAAGAGGAACCAATTCATGTCAAGTATTTGACATCAATCAAGTGTTTAACGCATGCTCTTCATTTTTAGCATGAACCCAGAAAAAGACTATAAATTACAGCTTTTTGAGCATTTTAATGATCACGGATGTAATTGGAAGATCGCAACAAAGTAGAAGATATTTTAAGCCTTTCACTTTGATTAAAATTCCTAAGTTCATGGCCGGATTGTAATTAGCAGTTAAAGTAAAATTCTTCGAAAACTACATCAAACTCATGGGAACTTCTAAGGTACGATGTCGGACCGTGCCCCTTGAATTAATATAAGAAAGTCTTCAACATTAGATTTGTGTTTTGTTTCGCGGAAAATGAATAATTTAAAAATATTTTCCTAACAGTAATCACTTGTATTGCTTATAAAAATGAATAAACGGAAAATATTTTCATCATCCACAAAAATGTTTTACTTAAATTGTTGTCGATAATTAAAAGAATTTTCATTGGCTAATTTATTTTAAGCAATACAAGCGATCACTTAAATCAGTTATTTTTCGCAAAACAAACAGTGTATAGTTAGCTAATTTTAAATATTACAGTAACCAAATAAACTATTTTAAACAAACAACTAGCAGAAAAAGTGGAAAAGTTAGAATTTTTCGTTTACAAAGTAAAATAAATCTATTTTTTAAATTCCAAATGTAAAAATATTGAAGCTCATATAATTGTTATGATTTAAATGAATGGAAAAAGTGGAACATGAAGTACAACAATAGTCTCCAATAGAATATAATTATATGATGAAATAGGAAAAAAATGAATGATTAAAGTTCACCGAGTAAGACGATAACATTGATAAAAAAAAATTGAGAGAGAAATGGATATATTTTGTAAAGTGTGTGTGTGTGTCCATGTTGAAGTTACCAAAAAAACATATGATTTTTCCATGAAGAATTTTGAAGAAAGACCGGGGGTAAATGTGCAGATATTTTCCGCAATGAAAATGGATAATGATACAAATGGTCTATGAAATTTGGCTCAATATGCAATATAGTCCCTAAACTTTTAATTTGTTCAATGTGATCTCTAAAATTTTAATTTGTCCAATGTGAATGCAGTCCCTAAACTATATGAAAATGTTCAATGTAGTCCTTTCATTAATTCAAGATCAAGGACAACATTGCACACTTTCATATAATTTAAGCATTACAATGAACATGTACCAAAAGTTCAGGGACTAAATTGAATAAATTAAAATTTTAAGGATCCATTGCAGATTGGACTAAAGTTCAGAAATCACATTGGATACTAAGTTAAAATTCATGAATCATTTGTGTCATTTTCTCCGATTAAAACTACAAATTGACTTGAACAATTATTTCTCAATTGGGCTGGGCCGAAATTATTTTCATTATGAGCCCAAATCAGTCCTCAACAAGCCCAATTCCTTCCTCTTCCTGAACATCATCATTCATCATCTTATCCTCCCCATCAAATGCCAGCAAAATCCAAGCTTTCATTCTCTCTCTCTCTCTCTCTCTCCATTTGAGACTTCCCTCGCTCAGAGCTTGATACAAGTTCAGAGTTTCATCTGAAGCAATGCTGACCATGGCCATAGAACCCAAGGTCAACGCCGCCCTCATGCAGCGTCTGTCCTTCCCCTGCTCCGACGTTGCCCTGAGGCCGCCATCCAAAGCTTCGTTTTTTGCCGCGCGAAAGAACTGCCCGAGTGCCGGGCTCAAAGTGGGTCGTCGCGGGTCGAGAGGACTCGGAGTCTCGGCGGCATCCGCCGAAGCGGTGGTCGTCGCGGAAGAGACGTCGTCGGCAGCAGGCTCTTCCCCTGAAGTTGCGCAGGGCAAAGAGGTGGAGTTTTCTTCTTTCTGACGTGTGTGGGTGGTAGTTTTCTGTGTTTGTGCTTATGCCTATGAGAGTGTGGTTGTTTGGCCATGGGGATGTGTGAATAAAGAGGAGATAAATGGGACTTGGACTGTTTTTCTTGTGGTGGGGCTTAGCTTATTTGGGGAATGGAATGATCAGGGAAGATGCATTCTAATATGAATTAGCTGATATAATGCAGAGGAAGCATTAGCTCAATCTCAAGTAGGTGTAGCTAAGTTCTGATACAATTGTGAATTTCTGAAAGGATTTACTACCTACTATGGACTTGGTTTTCTGAGATACCTCTATATGGAAAGCAAGAAGGGGAGGATCAATTGGTTGAAAATCATAGCATAAAGAGCGAAGAGGAGCCCGTGGAATCAAACCCTCTACTATAAAAATGGCGTGACACCTGAAATTGTTTCACACTTGTTACACTATATGGCTCCTCAAGAGTCAGTTAATATTATAACATAGTAATGTTACGGCAGCAATTGATGCATTCAGTAGATGAGAACAAGGAGGGATAAGGAGATTGAACCAAGTATTTAAAGAGTTTGGTTGTACATGTCTGCATTCTCATTTCCAGCTCTAGGAGCCTCGAACTAAGGCTGAACTCTGCTACTTCAATTGAGCAGTACAAGAGTTGCAATATGTTTTCCCTGCAACAGCAGCAGTTGCTTCCGTAATTCCCCCAATACAAAATTACCTCCCTTGCTGAACACCTTCAGTAAGAATACAGCCTGATTTGTGCACAACTCAAGTACAGTGTGAACCTGTTCCTTCTGTATCAACACACTCAGTGGCATTATGCTATTCTTCTCGTACAAAATTTAGTCTCATTTTTACAAGATTTTAATCTCTTAAAAATGTAATCAATAAATACTCTATAGAAATTCGGAATTGTATGAATAAGCATAAATGTTATAATCAGAGTGGTGTAAGCTTCTTTGGCTGCTGTCTTTGTCGTAGCCGTTTTCTCTTTTCCACCACTTCAATTTCCAGCCCTTGTACGCTTCGAATTTGAAAATTTTCCTTATGATCCGCTAGCTGTTGCATTTATGTTGACTTTCCTTAGGATGTGCATTCTATGTGTAGAATCCTTAGTAGCTTGATTGTCAATCACATAAACAACTCTCCTTTTATGTGCTTCAATCAAATTTTTAATCGCATCTTCAAGCCAACTAGCCTTTCCTCACATTTAAAAATTCCTTAGTCGAAAACATTTTCAAATAAACCACAAAATGGATCAGATATGCGGATTACAAGTCCCATAAACAAATAAAATTAATCTTCAATCACCTGAATCCTTTCCATGATAAAAAGATATCTATCTTTTTTTGGTCTATCTTTGATTAATGCAATTTCATGAATCAACTATTGTGTCTCGCATTGAGTCCATCCAAATATAAAATTTGAAAAGTTGTTGGTTCACTACAGAACATCATGCTACAAAGCCACAGCACTTCCCACTTTGTCATAGCACTTCTTTATGTTTCTATTGTGATCTCCTCGATGGAGATTTTGTTCTATGTTTTGTTGCATTATTAATTGGAGTTTGTTATCAAGCTCTATGTTAGAATGTCTAATTGAAAGACTTTAGTTAAGAGGAGGAGAGAGACTGCATGTATATAAGGCACATTATAACTATGTATTGAAGTGATGTGAGATTATAATTAACACTCCCATCGCGTGTAAGCTGATCCTTTGCGATCACACGCCTCAAGCTCAGTTGTTGTGAAATGGGCATGACTAGTATTTTCCACAAGCCAGTTGTTTTGAATCCTCCACAAGAAATGAGTTTGATAGGGGAGTGTTGGGATTCAGGCTCCTGATTGTGCTCTAATACTATATAAGAATATCCAATCCAAAAGTTCAAGTTAGTAGGTAGAGGGAGACTGCATGTATATAAGACACATTATAACCTTGTATTTATACAATGTAAAATAACCCTAAACACCCTGAATCTCCATCGTGTTGAAATTTGTTCTTTCTGCTTCGTTGACCCTCTCTTTGCTTACCAAGAACACACGACTGGGAAATTAAAGACAATCTGCACCTTTGTGAACTTGGGGTGCTCATTTGGTTTGTTATTAGTCTGTTTGCATCTTTAGGTTCTCTTTTTTTTTTTTTGGTTAATATCACGAAAAACCCCAAACTGATACACCTGTGACAAATTTACCACAAACTATTTGTTTGACCTCAAAAAACCCCAAACTAGTATACCTATGACAATTTTAGCCCGAACTAATTTTTTGACCACCAAAAATCCCAAACTGGTACATCTGTAATAATTTTACCCCGAACTAATTTTTTGACCACCAAAAATCCCAAACTAGTACACTTGTGACAAATTTACCCTTTGTTAGTTTCTGTTAAATTTCTCTCAAATTGCTAAGTTTGATGACACGTGGTAGTTGACGAGTGTACCAATTTGGGGTTTTACCCCTCTGTTTGTCACAAGTTTATCAATTTGTGGTTTTTCGTAATATTAATCCAATTTAACGGACACAAACGAAGGGTAAATTTATCACAAATGTACCAGTTTAGGGTTTTTAGTGGTTAAAAAATTAGTTGGGGGTACAGGTGTACCAGTTTGGGGTTTTTGATGGTCAAAACATTAGTTCGGGGTAAAATTATCACAAGTGTACCAATGTGAGGTTTTTGGTGGTCAATAAAATAGTTCGGGGTAAATTTGTCACAGGTGTACCGGTTTGGGGTTTTTGGTTGTCAAAAAATTAGTTTGGGGTAAAATTGTCACAGATGTACCAGTTTGGGGTTTTACATAGTATTAACCCTTTTTTTTAAACGCAGCCTTGCTTGGTTAAACGGTTCTGTTTATCGGAATAATTTGTTTTTATTTTTTTTGGATGATCCAGAAGCTTGGAGTGGTTGTAAAGCCAATGGACAAACCCAGACTTGTCTTGAAGTTTATTTGGATGGAGAAGAACATTGGGATTGCACTAGATCAAATGATACCTGGCCATGGCACAATTCCATTGAGTTCCTACTACTTTTGGCCAAGGAAAGATGCGTGGGAGGAGCTTAAGGTCTTACTTGAAAGCAAACCTTGGATTTCACAGAAGCAGATGATTATTCTTCTTAATCAGGCTACTGATATCATTAATTTGTGGCAACAGAGCGGCGGCGATTTATCGTAAGCTGTAGCAGTAACATTCTGGAGTTTGTACTTCTGTGGTCAGTTGTTATATCCAAGTTAGTGAAGTTTCTTGTACTCCGATATAATTTCTTTGAACATTTGTATTTTTGCTTCAGATAATGTGTATTCTTTCTGTTGTATCAGCCTATCTGGTTCTGTTTAATTACGTATCTTATTTGAGGTAAAGTTGAGGATGGAGGGTAATGTATTGCGTTCAATACCATGCAACAATTCCTGCCATAATATATATTCTACAGAAAAGTTCTGGGTGGCTGGAATGCGTTTACCTCTTTGACTGGCGCTATATTGCATATGATTTTGCTTTTCTGCAGTCCAGTGATAATGCTTATGTAACTGGCGTGAAAGGAGAAACTTCTTTTGGAGCCTTTCACGCTCAGGAATACCTTTGCTACTACATTCTGAGTTCCTTTAAGCAAGTATTTCATTTTGTCGAGCTTTATTAGTTTCTGTACAGTCAGTAGGGATTGGCGAAATATCTTGACCAGTGGAACCTGCCTTCTCCCCACCATTCAAGAATTAACTCGGGATGAAACCCGGTAGGAGTACATAATAATGCAATAATAGGTAGGGGTAGATGAATACTTGATAAATCAACAAAAGAATAGTTGAATTTTGGAGCGAATACATGAGAAATCAACAAAGAATAGTGGAACCTAGGAACGAACTTTTTTTTATTTTTATTTTGTTCACTGAACTAGTCCCGTTGTTCCTGTTCCTGTTTAGATCTGCTCAATAGCTCTGTACTTTGATTCCTATTCAGGAAGCATTCATCTACAACTTCATCATATTTTGCAGGATTAAGGAACTCATTCATGGGTGATCTAAACTTTATATCTCTGTTCAATTTCACAGCTTATAGCCAATACCTTCTTCCGCCCCCACGTTTCGTTTGAATGGTTGTTATTGGTGTCAAACCACATTCTATTGTCGGGAGGGCTCTGTCTGGCTCCATGGTGTCGAAGATGCAATCATCTCGTTTAGATTGTTCCTATCCTAGTTTAAGTGTAGAGCCACTAGCCGACTATTCTGATGCATTTGCCTTTCGTTCTTCTCCCTCGTTTCAAGATAAATTCGATCGGCTTCTGTTTCTTCTTCTTCCGAGTCTGAGTAATACACTGGATAGATGTTGTCACAAATCGGCCTGTCAGGATAGGGATCTACGTCTACTTCCTCTGGAGCTTCATATAGGTCATTTTGATATGTAGATGGTGATATTTCCCCCGAGTCATTTAAGTTACATTGATCATCGGGATCATGGTCCCCTGATCCCGATGCTGATAGTCTCACAGCGGCTCTTGCAGCGGCAGCTGCATGAGCCACTGATTCAAATGAGTCTTGAGCTGTGCCAACCACGTCGTTGTACTCCCTCCACTCCATGGAGTCGGAGAAGCCCTCATCCTCGCTTATCTCTTCAGGTGCATCACAGGTGTCATCTGTGAATCCAGAACTTGTTAAACTGTGTTCAAGTCGCTTGTCCTCGTAATTTATGCCTGCTTTTTCCTGCAATGTAGGATCTATATTTGTTAGAAACTGTTCAATCAACTTCGATTCATGGAGTGTTGCCTGAATCTGCTACTCCAATTCAATGACCTACCTCATCAGCAGCATTCTTTAAGTGCAAAATCATTCCGTTTTCGTAGGCGATTTCTTTTAGTGCCTTCATCCTACTGTCCACGCTCGGTTGTCTGGTGGAGAACTTCTCGATGACCTGAATTCATTGAGCTTTGAGTCATCCAGACATGAAAAGAAACTGGCCAATTTTGATCAAGTGATCAGAGTCAAAATCATTTACCCTAGGATTCACTGCACAATCCTTGCGTAGTTCAACTGCTCGAGCCACAAACTCTTTCCCATATATCTTTGTGATGACAGTGCGGATCCCCTGGAGCTCAGGGAAGTCCCCGCACCTCGAAGCTGCAAATGTCAAGCTAGATACTGCCTCTTTGAGCTCCTCGGGACATTCCCTGTTCGTAAAAGTGCAGTGAAAAGCCTCAGGCGTCGTTTGATTAGTTCTTTAGCGTTCTTACTAAAAGTTTCGAAGGCCTTGGCAAACTTACATGTTCTTTTGCATGAGCATTCCCCTCTGCCCAAGGATGTGGCAGTAGCATTCCAAGATGCAAAATGCATCCACCATATTCTGCTCCTTAATTACATGCTCAACCTGTACAAAGATAATTCTTATTAGAATGATTGCGTGCGAGCATGAGTGCACGAGAGAGAGAGAGAGAGAGAGAGAGAGAGAGAGAGAGAGAGAGAGAGAGAGAGAGAGAGAGAGAGAGAGAGAGAGAGAGAGAGAGGTGAAAACGTACGCGGAGAAGAGCGCGTTCTTGGTGTCCGAGGCTCAGTAGCTGAACGACATCCGACCAGGCATGGGACAGTCGAACTTCTCGATTTTTTCTAAGGATGGCGATCCTAGATATGGCAAGTTTCGAGAGGGTCTTGATCTTAGACTCCTTGCTGTTCCTTCCAAGAAGAACATCCATCTTCCTCCCCATGATCTCTCGGTCTGCTGCTATATTTCTCGATCTGAGCTCTTAACAGCAGAAGAGTTTCTCAAGTCCAGACTCAGGCCGTTGCCGTTCGCAGCCTCTTCTAGACTTTATATACCCCAAGGTTATAGGAGACGCGTCTGCGTAACGCGCGACGCTCGGATACATTAAGTAAAAGAACACGTTTGCGGTCGTCATTCCATGTACATGCAGGTACATGACCGGCGGATGTAAAGCTTCATTTAGCTAGAGAAGACATGGTCAAACCTCGGCAACGCTGACGTTCCCAATCAAAGACAGTTAAAAAGGGTGGTTATAGTTTATACTATATGTTTTGACTCGAGGGTTCGTGACATGAAATATCTCTAGGGCGAGTTTCTCAGTGTGCATGCAAAGTCAGCAAGCGAATGCCAACGCACACGAAGCTCTTGGAGGAATCATTCCTCCAACCTTTCTGAAGGGACGAAATGGTCTGGTCAAATGGCGGCGAACCGTTTCTAGAAGCGACAAAAAGAATGCTGCGGAAATCGGACAAATTGGTCCTTCATGCGGCCTCCTTGTGATAGATTGCAAAACATTTGTTCCGTGACCATTTCTCAACACGTCCATGTTGATACACAAATGCGGCTTGGTCAATCAACGTGGCACGTGCGATTAAAGCTCCATTTGATTCGTGAAAAATAAATAATTACAAAAATATTTTCCTAAAAACGATTGCTTATATCGTTTGAAATAATCGGTTGATCGAAAATATTTTAATTATCGACAGCAACTTACGTTTAAATACTTTCGTGAACGATGAAAATATCTTTCGTTCATTCATTTTTGTGAGCAAAATAAGCGATCGTTCTCAGGAAATATGTTTTCCAAATCACTTATTTTCTGGAAAATAAACGTGGCCTAAGGCTCCGTTCGTTTGGCGAAAAATATTCTCCTTTTGGAAAATATTTTCCCGGAAGTCATTTTCCTGGAAAATGTTTTCCCGAACATAATTTTCCGGTGTTCGCGACCAATATGAAAAAGTTTCGAAAAATATTTTTCGGCAAACGCAGCGGCGGCGGCGGCGGGCGGCGGCGGCGTTTGCAGCGGCCGGGCAGCAGCGTCCGGCGGCCGGCGACAGCAGCGGCGAGCCGTCCGGCGGCGGGCGACCGGCGGCAGCGGCAGCGGCGGCCGGCGACCAAGCGGCCAACGTCCGGCGTCCGGCGGCGGCGGCCGGCGACCCTCGCCAAACGAATGGAGCCTAAAGGCCTAAACTTTTTCCGAGAAAGATTTACGAAATAGAAGGAACATCAAATCCTAAAGATTATATTAACTTGGGGTGATTGATTGAGTGGAGTGAGAAGCACTTACAATAGGGAGTGTTGATAAGATTTGATTTGTGATGATTGGTCAGGTATATGGTGTCATCCGAGAGTGTATGAAAATTTCTCTCTCTAAAGTACCCGACTATAGATTGGATCGACTTAAATATCCGGGGCACAGTTGTGGATTTCATTAATTGCAATGCCAAGTTGCCAACTATCATGCATGGACATAAAGGTATCATTACGACGCAAGTGGCATGCCATAATTTCATTGCTATCCTTAGCTCTTCTCAAGTTGTCCAATTGGGCAAAAGAAAAACTCGCTTGTATAAGTTAGGCAAACATCGCGAGTGATCCATGAGCTTTTCCTCAATGTGCAATATCGTCCCTAAAATCTCAATTTGTTCAATGTGGTCCATAAATTTTAGCCCTATAGGCAATGTCATCTCTGAACTTTTAATTTATTTAATGTGAACTTTGATACATGTTCAACTTAATTTCTCAATATATGAAAATATTCGATGATATCCTTCCATTGATTCAAGCTCGGGTACAACATTGAACATTTTTACGTAGTTCAGGGACTAGATTGAATATATACCAAAAATTCATGGATCGCATTGAACAGAGTTTAGGGATGATATTGCATATTAAGTCAAAGTTCAGGGATTATTTATGTAATTATTCCCGATAATATTTTTTTATTTATGGTAGAATTAATTCCTATAAGTAAAAAAAAAAAAGAAGGAGAAAATGTAGCCTTGTGGGGGAGTGTCCATCAAGGAAGGAGTCAACGTTTGACCCTGAAACTTTCATTATGGCTTTCCTCTGCCAAGCGCCGGCGCTGTGACCCTCTCATGTCCACGGTACGGACAATTAGACATGATTTGTTATCTCTCTATAGCTCAATTCCAAAAAAAACCTCAACTTTACACTTTGTCCCAAATATATCATGAACTTTTTTTTATCTCAAGAAAAACCACAAACTTTTATCTAAGTCTCAAATCTGCCCTCCCGTTATAAATCCGTCCAATTAACGTCAGAAAAAAAAAATAGAGAACGAGCAGCTGCGACGGTGGCCAAGCCTTCGCCGGTGGCCGCTGCCACAGTTGCCGGGAAGGAGCGGCGGCCCTCGCCTGGGCCTTCTCGAAGGCCGGCCACCCTCGCCGGCGAGGGCGTACAGCCCCCGATCTAGGGGAGGGCGCGACCCTCGCCCCAGATCAGGGGCTGCACACCCTCACCGGCGACTCGCCCGGGGCCGGTGACCCTTGCCGTCCCTTGCCTGGGCCTTCCCGAAGGCCGGCGAGGGTCGTCGACCCCGGGCGAGCCGCCAGCGAGGGCGTGCAGTCCCCGATCTAGGGGAGGGCGTGACCCTCGCCCGGATCGGGGCGCACGCCCTCGCCGGCGGCTCGCCGGGGCCGGCGACCCTCGCACGGGCCTTCTCGAAGGTCGGCGACCCTCGCCGGCCCTCGCCCAGGCTTCTCGAAGGCCGGTGAGGGTCGCCGGCCCGGGTGAGTCGCCGGCGGGCGTGCGGCCCCGATCTGGGGAGGGCACGACCCTTGCCCCCGGATCGGGGCCACGCCCTCGCCGGCGACTTGCTTCGGGGCCGGCGAGGGTCGCCGCCTTCGGGAAGGCCCGAGGCAAGGGCCGCCGCTCCTTCCCGGCGGGCCGTGGCGGCGGCCACCGGCGAGGCCTTGGACACCGCCGCAGCTGCTCGTTCTCTGTTTTTTTTTTTTTTTTTTCTTTCTGACGTTAATTGGACGGATTTATAACGGTAGGGCAGATTTGGGACTTAGATAAAAGTTTGTGGTTTTTCTTGAGATAAAAAAAAGTTCAGGATATATTTGGGACAAAGTGTAAAGTTGATGGTTTTTTTTGGAATTGGGCCATCTCTCTATTGATGGATCTTGGATGAAATTGATCATTCATTGTGTTGTTGATCTAGAGGATTTCCAATCTCTCAACTATTCGATCTACTCCCTCAACATAAAACCCGAACTTTTAATTATTGTGAATACATCTCAATCATCGAACTTTTAATTTAAGTAAATTCAATTAATTTATAATCTTCCAATTATGTTTTTTTCCAGTCATTTCGACCATACCTGTTGAATGCTAAGCACCTTCTCTGGCAAGTAGAAACTTAAGTGGAATGGTCTTTCATGATTTTGATTGGAACGCAACATCGGAGTAATTAGAGTACTTCCAATGGTAAATTAGGGTTTTTGTCATAAAGATCTTGATACTATAGACATTATTTTCCACAAAAATTTACATAATTATAATAAGTTTCTTGTGACAAAGATGCGATTATTGCTTGGGCAACCACTACTTGGTTTGCTTCTCTATAGTAGGTACACTTGGTAATCTAACTCGCAAAGCTATTGATATTTAATGATGCAAGAAAAATTATGATCAAGAGAATATCTCAACACCTTAGTTTTTTCTTCTTTATTTTTAAATTGGGTATCCGATATCACTAGGATTTAGAATATTCATCATAGTTTGCTTCTCTTTTCATGTTTACTTTCTTAGATGAATTGTTATCAAAGTTGTCTGTAAACATAGGCCCAAACAATTATTTCATTAGTTTTTTTTATCGATGAATTGAGAATTCTAGTGATGTATTGAGTTACCTGGTTGGTATTTCCTCTTTCTGTGTTTGTGTTTATGCCTATGAGAGTGTGGTTGTTTGGCCATGGGGATGTGTGAATAAAGAGGAGATAAATGGGACTTGGACTGTTTTTCTCGTGGTGGGGCTTAGCTTATTTGGGGAATGGAATGATCAGGGAAGATGCATTCTAATATGAATTAGCTGATATAATGCAGAGGAAGCATTAGCTCAATCTCAAGTAGGTGTAGCTAAGTTCTGATACAATTGTGAATTTCTGAAAGGATTTACTACCTACTATGGACTTGGTTTTCTGAGATACCTCTATATGGAAAGCAAGAAGGGGAGGATCAATTGGTTGAAAATCATAGCATAAAGAGCGAAGGGGAGCCCGTGGAATCAAACCCTCTACTATAAAAATGGCGTGACACCTGAAATTGTTTCACACTTGTTACACTATATGGCTCCTCAAGAGTCAGTTAATATTATAACATAGTAATGTCACGACAGCAATTGATGCATTCAGTAGATGAGAACAAGGAGGGATAAGGAGATTGAACCAAGCATTTAAAGAGTTTGGTTGTACATGTCTGCGTTCTCATTTCCAGCTCTAGGAGCCTCGAACTAAGGCTGAACTCTGCTACTTCAATTGAGCAGTACAAGAGTTGCAATATGTTTTCCCTGCAACAGCAGCAGTTGCTTCCGTAATTCCCCCAATACAAAATTACCTCCCTTGCTGAACACCTTCAGTAAGAATACAGCCTGATTTGTGCACAACTCAAGTACAGTGTGAACCTGTTCCTTCTGTATCAACACACTCAGTGGCATTATGCTATTCTTCTCGTACAAAATTTAGTCTCATTTTTACAAGATTTTAATCTCTTAAAAATGTAATCAATAAATACTCTATAGAAATTCGGAAGGGTATGAATAAGAATAAATGTTATAATCAGAGTGGTGTAAGCTTCTTTGGCTGCTGTCTTTGTCGTAGCCGTTTTCTCTTTTCCACCACTTCAATTTCCAGCCCTTGTACGCTTCGAATTTGAAAATTTTCCTTATGATCCGCTAGCTGTTGCATTTATGTTGACTTTCCTTAGGATGTGCATTCTATATGTAGAATCCTTAGTAGCTTGATTGTCAATCACATAAACAACTCTCCTTTTATGTGCTTCAATCAAATTTTTAATCGCATCTTCAAGCCAACTAGCCTTTCCTCACATTTAAAAATTCCTTAGTCGAAAACATTTTCAAATAAACCACAAAATGGATCAGATATGCGGATTACAAGTCCCATAAACAAATAAAATTAATCTTCAATCACCTTAATCCTTTCCATGATAAAAAGATATCTATCTTTTTTTGGTTTATCTTTGATTAATGCAATTTCATGAATCAACTATTGTGTCTCGCATTGAGTCCATCCAAATATAAAATTTGAAAAGTTGTTGGTTCACTACAGCACATCATGCTACAAAGCCACAGCACTTCCCACTTTGTCATAGCACTTCTTTATGTTTCTATTGTGATCTCCTCGATGGAGATTTTGTTCTATGTTTTGTTGCATTATTAATTGGAGTTTGTTATCAAGCTCTATGTTAGAATGTCTAATTGAAAGACTTCAGTTAAGAGGAGGAGAGAGACTGCATGCATATAAGGCACATTATAACTATGTATTGAAGCGATGTGAGATTATAATTAACACTCCCGTCGCGTGTAAGCTGATCCTTTGCAGTCACACGCCTCAAGCTCAGTTGTTGTGAAATGGGTATGACTCGTATTTTCCACAAGCCAGTTGTTTTGAATCCACCACGAGAAATGAGTTTGAGAGGGGAATGTTAGGATTCAAGCTCCTGATTGTGCTCTGATACTATATAAGAATGTCCAATCCAAAAGTTTAAATTAGTAGGTAGAGGGAGACCGCATGTATATACGATACATTATAACCTTGTATTTATACAATGTAAAATAAACCTAAACACCCTGAATCTCCCTCGTGTTGAAATTTGTTCTTTTCGCTTCATTGACCCTCTCTTTGCTTACCAAGAACACACGACTGGGAAATTAAAGACACAATCTGCACCTCTGTGAACTTGGGGTGCTCATTTGGTTTGCTATTAGTCTGTTTGCATCTTTAGGTTCTCTTTTTTTTTTTTTTTAATTAATATCACGAAAAACCCAAACTGCTACATCTTTGACAAATTTACCACAAACTATTTTTTTGACCACAAAAAACCCCAAACTAGTATACCTATGACAATTTTAGCCCGAACTAATTTTTTAACCACCAAAAACCTCAAACTGGTACATCTGTAACAATTTTAGCCCGAACTAATTTTTTGACCACCAAAAACCCCAAACTGGTACATCTGTAACAATTTTACCCCGAACTAATTTTTTGACTACCAAAAACCCCAAACTAGTACACATGTGACAAATTTACTTTTTGTTAGTTTCTGTTAAATTTCTCTCAAATTGCTAAGTTTGATGACACGTGGTAATTGACGGGTGTACCAATTTGGGGTTTTGCCCCTCTGTTTGTCACAAGTTTACCAATTTGTGATTTTTCGTAATATTATTCCAATTTAACGGACACAAACGAAAAGTAAATTTATCACAAATGTGCCAGTTTGGGGTTTTTAGTGGTTAAAAAATTAGTTGGGGGTACAAGTGTACCAGTTTGGGGTTTTTGGTGGTCAAAAAATTAGTTCGAGGTAAAATTGTCACAAGTGTACCAATGTGAGGTTTTTGGTGGTCAAAAAAATAGTTCGGGGTAAATTTGTCACAGGAGTACTGGTTTGGGGTTTTTGGTTGTCAAAAAATTAGTTTTGGGTAAAATTGTCATAGATGTACCAGTTTGGGGTTTTTCATAGTATTAACCCATTTTTTAAAATGCAGTCTTGCTTGGTTAAACAGTTCTGTTTATCGGAATAATTTGTTTTTTTTATTTTTTTTGGATGATCCAGAAGCTTGGAGTGGTTGTAAAGCCAATGGACAAACCCAGACTTATCTTGAAGTTTATTTGGATGGAGAAGAACGTTGGGATTGCACTAGATCAAATGATACCTGGCCATGGCACAATTCCATTGAGTTCCTACTACTTTTGGCCAAGGAAAGATGCGTGGGAGGAGCTTAAGGTCTTACTTGAAAGCAAACCATGGATTTCACAGAAGCAGATGATTCTTCTTCTTAATCAGGCTACTGATATCATTAATTTGTGGCAACAGAGCGGCGGCGATTTATCGTAAGCTGTAGCAGTAGCATTCTGGAGTTTGTACTTCTGTGGTCTGTTGTTATATCCAAGTTAGTCAAGTTTCTTGTACTCTGGTATAATTTCTTTGAACATTTGTATTTTTGCTTCAGTTAATGTGTATTCTTTCTGTTGTATCAGCCTATCTGGTTCTGTTTAATTACGTATCTTATTTGAGGTAAAGTTGAGGATGGAGAGTAATGTATTGCGTTCAATACCATGCAACAATTCCTGCCATAATATATATTCTACAGAAAAGTTCTGGGTGGCTGGAATGCGTTTACCTCTTTGACTGGCGCTATATTGCATATGATTTTGCTTTTCTGCAGTCCAGTGATAATGCTTATGTAACTGGCGTGAAAGGAGAAACTTCTTTTGGAGCCTTTCACGCTCAGGAATACCTTTGCTACTACATTCTGAGTTCCTTTAAGCAAGTATTTCATTTTGTCGAGCTTTATTAGTTTCTGTACAGTCAGTAGGGATTGGCGAAATATCTTGACCAGTGGAACCTGCCTTCTCCCCACCATTCAAGAATTAACTCGGGATGAAACCCGGTAGGAGTACATAATAATGCAATAATAGGTAGGGGTAGATGAATACTTGATAAATCATCAAAAGAATAGTTGAATTTTGGAGCGAATACATGATAAATCAACAAAGAATAGTGGAACCTAGGAACGAACTTTTTTTTTTTTTAATTTTGTTCACTGAACTAGTCCCGTTGTTCCTGTTCCTGTTCCTGTTCCTGTTTAGATCTGCTCAATAGCTCTGTACTTTGATTCCTATTTAGGAAGCATTCATCTACAACTTCATCATATTTTGCAGGATTAAGGAACTCATTCATGGGTGATCTAAACTTTCTATCTCTGTTCAATTTCACAGTTTATAGCCAATACCCTCTACCGCCCCCACCTTTCGTTTGAATGGTTGTTATTGGTGTCAAACCACACTATTGTCCGAGGGCTCTGTCTGGCTCCATGGTGTCGAAGATGCAATCATCTCTTTTAGATTGTTCCTATCCTAGTTTAAGTGTAGAGCCGCTAGTCGACTATTCTGATGCATTTGCCTTTCGTTCTTCTCCCTCGTTTCAAGATAAATTCGATCGGCTTCTGTTTCTTCTTCTTCCGAGTCTGAGTAATACACTTGATAGATGTTGTCATAAATCGGCCTGTCAGGATAGGGATCTACGTCTACTTCCTCTGGAGCTTCATATAGGTCATTTTGATATGTAGATGGTGATATTTCGCCTGAGTCATTTAAGTTACATTGATAATCGGGATCATGGTCCCCTGATCCCGATGCTGATAGTCTTACAGCGGCAGCTGCATGAACCACTGATTCAAATGAGTCTTGAGCTGCGCCAACCACGTCGTTGTACTCCCTCCACTCCATGGAGTTGGAGAAGCCCTCATCCTCGCTTATCTTTTCTGGTGCATCACAGGTGTCATCTGTGAGTCCAGAACTTGTTAAACTGTGTTCAAGTCGCTTGTCCCCGAAATTTATGCCTGCTTTTTCCTGCAATGTAGGATCTATATTTGTTAAAAACTGTTCAATCAACTTCGATTCGTGGAGTGTTGCCTGAATCTGCTACTCCAATTCAATGACCTACCTCATCAGCAGCATTCTTGAAGTGCAAAATCATTCCGTTTTCGTAGGCGATTTCTTTTAGTGCCTTCATCCTACTTTCCACGCTCGGTTGTCTGGTGGAGAACTTCTCGATGACCTGAATTCATTGAGCTTTGAGTCATCCAGACATGAAAAGAAACTGGCCAGTTTTGATCAAGTGATCAGAGTCAAATCACTTACCCTAGGATTCACTGCACAATTCTTGCGTAGTTCAACTGCTCGAGCCACAAACTCTTTCCCATATATCTTTGTGACGACAGTGCGGATCCCCTGGAGCTCAGGGAAGTCCCCGCACCTCGAAGCTGCAAATGTCAAGCTAGACGCTGCCTCTTTGAGCTCCTCGGGACATTCCCTGTTCGTAAAAGTGCAGTGAAAAGCCTCAAGCGTCGTTTGATTAGTTCTTTAGTGTTCTTACTAAAAGTTTCGAAGGCCTTGGCAAACTTACATGTTCTTTTGCATGAGCATTCCCCTCTGCCCAAGGATGTGGCAGTAGCATTCCAAGATGCAAAATGCATCCACCATATTCTGCTCCTTAATTACATGCTCAACCTGTACAAAGATAATCCTTATTAGAATGATTGCGTGCGAGCATGAGTGCACGTGAGTGAGAGAGAGAGAGAGAGAGAGAGAGAGAGAGAGAGAGAGAGAGAGAGAGAGAGAGAGAGAGAGAGAGAGAGAGAGGTGAAAACGTACGCGGAGAAGAGCGCGTTCTTGGTGTCCGAGGCTCAGTAGCTGAATGACATCCGACCAGGCATGAGACAGTCGAACTTCTCGATTTTTTCTAAGGATGGCCATCCTAGAGATGGCAAGTTTCGAGAGGGTCTTGATCTTAGACTCCTTGCTGTTCCTTCCAAGAAGAACATCCATCTTCCTCCCCATGATCTCTCGGTCTGCTGCTATATTTCTCGATCTGAGCTCTTAACAGCAGAAGAGTTTCTCAAGTCCAGACTCAGGCCGTTGCCGTTCGCAGCCTCTTCTAGACTTTATATACCCCAAGGTTATAGGAGACGCGTCTGCGTAACGCGCGACGCTCGGATACATTAAGTAAAAGAACGCGTTTGACTCGCGGTCGTCATTCCATGTACATGCAGGTACATGACCGGCGGATGTAAAGCTTCATTTAGCTAGAGAAGACATGGTCAAACCTCGGCAACGATGACGTTCCCAATCAAAGACAGTTAAAAAGGGTGGTTATAGTTTATACTATATGTTTTGTCTCGAGGGTTCGTGACATGAAAGATCTCTAGGGCGAGTTTCTCAGTGTGCATGCAAAGTCAGCAAGCGCATGCCAAGGCACACGACGCACGAAGCTCTTGGAGGAATCATTCCTCCGACCTTTCTGAAGGGACGAAATGGTCTGGTCAAATGACGGCGAACCGGTTCTAGAAGCGACAAAAAGAATGCTGCGGAAATCGGACAAATTTGGTCCTCCATGCGGCCTCCTTGTGATAGATTGCAAAACATTTGTTCCGTGACCATTTCTCAACACGTCCATGTTGATACACAAATGCGGCTTGGTCAATCAACGTGGCACGTGCGATTAAAGCTCCATTTGATTCGTGAAAAATAAATAATTACAAAAATAATGTCCTAAAAACGATTGCTTATATCGTTTGAAATAATCGGTTGATCGAAAACATTTTAATTATCGACAGCAACTTACGTGTAAATACTTTCGTGAACGATGAAAATATCTTTCGTTCTTTCGTTTTTGTGAGCAAACAAAGCGATCATTCTCAGGAAATATGTTTTTCAAATCACTTATTTTCTGGAAAATAAACGTGGCCTAAAGGTCTAAACTTTTCCGAGAAAGATTTACGAAATAGAAAGAACATCAAACCCTAGAGATTATATTAACTTGGGGTGATTGATTGAGTGGAGTGAGAAGCACTTACAATAGGGAGTGTTGATAAGATTTGATTTGTGATGATTGGTCAGGTATATGGTGTCATCCGAGAGTGTATGAAAATTTCTCTCTCTAAAGTACCCGACTATAGATTGGATCGACTTAAATATCCGGGGCACAGTTGTGGATTTCATTAATTGCAATGCCAAGTTGCCAACTATCATGCATGGACATAAAGGTATCATTACGACGCAAGTGGCATGCCATAATTTCATTGCTATCCTTAGCTCTTCTCAAGTTGTCCAATTGGGCAAAAGAAAAACTCGTTTGTATAAGCTAGGCAAATATCGTGAGTGATCCATGAACTTTTTCTCAATATTCAATATCGTCCCTGAAATCTCAATTTGTTCAATGTGGTCCATGAATTTTAACCCTATAGGCAATGTCGTCTCCGAACTTTTAATTTATTTGATGTGAACTTTGGTGCATGTTCAACTTAGTTCCTCAATATATGAAAATGTTCGATGATATCCTTCCATTGATTTAAGCTCAGGTACAACATTGAACATTTTTACGTAGTTCAGGGACTAGATTGAACATATACAAAAAATTCATGGATCGCATTGAACAGAGTTTAGGGATGATATTGCACATTAAGCCAAAATTCAGGGATTATTTATGTAATTATTCCCGATATTTTTTTTTATTTATGGTAGAATTAATCTCTATAAGTATAAAAAAAAAAAAAGGAGAAAATGTAGCCTTGTGGGGGAGTGTCCATCAAGGAAGAAGTCAACGTTTGACCCTGAAACTTTCATATTTCCTCTGCCAAACGCCGGCGCTGTGACCCTCTCGTGTCCATGGTACGGACAATTAGACATGATTTGTTTTCTCTCTATTGATGGATCTTGGATGAAATCGATCATTCATTGTGTTATTGATCTAGAGGATTTCCAATCTCTCAACTATTCGATCTACTCCCTCGACATAAAACCCGAACTTTTAATTATCGTGAATGCATCTCAATCATCGAACTTTTAATTCGAGTAAATTCAATCAATTTATCATCTTCCAATTATGTTTTTTTCCAATCATTTCGACTATACCTGTTGAATGCTAAGCACCTTGTCCGGCAAGTAGAAACTTAAGCTGAATGGTTGTTCATGATTTTGATTACAACATAACATCGGAGTACAATTAGAGTACTTCCAATGGTAAATTAGGGTTTTTGTCTTGAAGATCTTGATACTATAGACATTAATTTCCACAAAAAGTTTACATAATTATAATAAGTTTCTCGTGACAAAGATGCGATTATTGCTTGGGCATCCACTACTCGGTTTGCTTCTGCTTAGCAAGGTATACTTGATAATCTAACTCTCAAAGCTATTGATATTTAATGATGCAAGAAAAATTATGATCAAGAGAATATCTCAAACACCTTAGTTTTTTCTTCTTTATTTTTAAATTGGGTATCCGATATCACCAGGATTTAGAATATTCATCGTAGTTTACTTCTCTTTTCGTATTTACTTTCTTAGAAGAATCGTTATCAAAGTTGTCTGTAAACATAGGCCTAAGTAATTATTTCATTAGTGTTTTTTTTTTATCGATGAATTGAGAATTCTAGTTATGTATGAAGTTACCTGGGTCGGTATTTCCTCTTTCTCGATTGGGATTGGGATTTTTTTTTTTTTTTTTGGGTTGGAAATGAGACTGATATCATTGAAGATCAAAGTTTCTTAGACAGAGAGCTCAAACTAGGAGGCATCCAAACAAAGCAAATATTCCCATAAAAGCTGGAGAGATGGGCTAGCCATGAAAGAAACAGGATATTTTGGCGCTGGGCCTTAGCGAGCCAGTCCGCTACCTGATTTGCACTCCAACTACAGTGGGCTAGGGAGAAATGAGGGAAGTGGGCCAAAATAGCCCGGGTCTCCACTGCTAAGGACTCTTATCTCCCCATGGCACATGCGTCTCTTCTTGAAGCGCTCGGACAAGTTCTTCACAAATCAGACCCCAATTCAATTACACCCTCTCCCCTTGACTTGAATCGATTCGGGGCTTCGATCAGGGCGCTCATCTCCGCCCGAATCGCAGACAACGCCGGAACCGTCTTGGTAAAGCCATCGAGAAGTGCCCCCGTAGCATCCCGCAGCATACCGGAGATCGAACCCGCCGTCGCTCCTTCCAGAATCGACGCATCGGTGTCAGTTTTCAGTCGCCGGATTGGATTGGCATTTCAATTTCTTTAAATATCTCTTGCTCGCTACACGTTAATGTCCCGCATCGATCGGCGTTAGAGCGAGATTTGTTCTTCACCAATTGATATCAGAAGAGCAAGATTCATTTTTTTTTTATCCATTGGTATTGGAACTTTACATATTATTTTGCAAGACATTATTTGCACAATCATAATTATTTTTTAGGCCCCGCCCAATCTCAAACTCTGTAGTGGGCTTGGCTTGGCTCAACTGATGGGCTGTCTTACATAAATTAGAAAATGAAGAAAAAGTCGACTAGATTTCAATAGTCCTTGCCCAATGTTTGGTGAGTTCGACCCAAAAAAAAATAATTATTTCTTTCACCTCCTCTTTAGCCGAATAAACACTTTTTTTTTTCGTTAACCGATCAAAATAACATGCTACATTTAGAAACAAATCGGTATTATCACCAAGCATCGTACTTTTTCTCTCTCATCTCCACTCTTCTTCACTTTCATTTTTTTGGTTTTTAACCGACTAAAATGACCTTTAATTCTATATGTTTGGAAACCGATTAATTATTTAATTAACCCCGCCTTTTTATATTATTTTGAATCTGCTTTTGTATTATGAAATCAATAACAAGAAATGCAATTAAACTTGAAAATTCCTCTTATTAGTTTTTTCCTTCGCAGACTTGACGGCTCTCGTTTTTATTTCCCCCAAGATGACAACACTCTCGTTGATTTTTCAATTTCCGAATAGCATAATAGTAGCAACCTAAAAATTCATCCAATTTCCATGCCCATGTCATTTTTTCGTAATTCCGATGTAACAAATTGAAAATTAAAGAAAATGATTGTCATTATCATGGAAAAAGTGACATGCAGAAAGCGATTTAATCAAGTGGCTTCTGAAATTCTTATCTTGACCTTTTTTTTCTAATCAGGATCAGATTCAGGGGGGGACCGGGTACTTGCCCCTCTCCAACTTTTCTAGAAGTTTGTTTAAGACCCCAATCATAGAAAATAAGGTTAATATCACGAAAAACTCTAAATTAGTACACATATAATAGAAAATAAAGCGATTTAATCAAGTGGCTTCTGAAATTCTTATCTTGACCTTTTTTTTCTAATCAGGATCAGATTCAGGTGGGTACCGGGTGCTTGCCCCTCTCCGACTTTTCTAGAAGTTCGTTTTAAACCCCAATCATAGAAAATAAGGTTAATACCACGAAAAATCACAAACTAGTATATATATAATAAATTTAGGATAAACTAATTTTTTTTATCAGGAAAAATCACAAACTGGTAAATCTGTGACAAACGGAGGGTAAAACCTCAAACCGGTACACCCGTTAATTACCACGTGTCATCCAACTCAGCAATTTGACAATAAAATTTAATTGAAACTAACGGATGATAAATTTGTCGCAGGTGTATCAATTTGGGGTGTTTTGTGGTCAAAAATTAGTTTTTGGTAAATTTGTCACATGTATACTAGTTTGGGGTTTCGCGTAGTACAATTGTGAGTTTCAAGAAATTCGAAAATCTCAGGGGACAAAACTATAGGGATTGTAAAATAGAAGCATAGTGATATAGATGGATAAATAGAGTAAATTAAAAGTGCTTTAGCGCCAAACTTTTACCAATACGTGAGAACCCATGTTTATTATAAGACAAATCTTTAATCTATCCGTGTTAAATTATGGACAAATTGGTACTTCAGAAGCAATCAATATATAAATAAGGTGATCTCTAGATAGCTAAAACTTTCGAAGTTCAAAATTTCCCTATCTTATAATCGTTAAAGAAGTCAAATCTCCAAATAATTACTTTTGAGATATTTTACTTTCGAGAAATTACAAAAAGTGGTCACTTTGTTATTGCCACTTTTCGATTTTGGTCATTGTACTTCATCCTATGACTAAGGGTGATCGATTCCGGGTCCGATTTCAGTCCGGTTCAATAGAATCGAT